GTAACAATAACTCTACTGAAAAAGGTTGTTGTGGGGGTAAAGAGAGTTAAAGTAGGTGGAGAATTAGGTCAGAGGGTGAAGTCTTAACCACTAAACCTTACCTTTTATACAAATCCAAGTGCACATTTTCCCCTCATAAATATGATATCCAAGGGCTATAATCTTTAGATTGACTTATTTTTTTTTAAAGATCTATTTATTTTAGAGACAGAGAGAGAGAGAGAACAAATGTAAGTGGGGGGAGGGACAGAGGAAGAGGGAGGATCTCAAGCAGACTCCATGCCAAGTGCCAAGCCTGAGGTGGGGCTTGGTCTCATGACAATGAGATCATGATCTGAGCTGAAATCAAGAGTCTGATGCTCAAGCAACTGAGCTACCCAGCTTCCCCTAGGTTGATTGACTTTTCACAAATAGAGGACAAGTAAAAGGACTTGTTTTGGAATACTCCTATCAAAAAAAAAAAAAAGGAATACTCCTATCAATGGATGTTGTCAGGTTACATAACTGGACAATTATTTGATATTTGCCATGTGTCAAGTGCTGTTCTGGGGTAGATGGCAGGAATATGAAGTGTACTTGAACATGGTCTGTCTCCAGGGAATTTAGAAACATGGCAATAAAATGGGCACATAAAAGATAGTTTTCAGAGCAAAATAGTTTATGCAAAGGGTCAGTTGAAACCATTATTGTTCAAGGATAGTTGTGCTGACATGGGCTGTGTGTCCAGGACTTTGTGTGTAGTACTCCACTTCATGCTTCTTTTGTTAGAAAGGTATCTCTCCTCCTTTAGGAAATGTTCCCTGACCCTACTGCTAGTCTCCTTTGGGCATACTGGGCAAGGAATGGGGAGGGCATTCATTGTAGGAAGAATGGCATAAACAAAGCACTGAAAACATTGGAGATCCTAGGTGGGTTTGGTTCTGTAAAAATGTAATGTGTACCATGGGAAGTGATAGGAATGTTACTGAGATAGGGCAGGTGATGACGGGTCATCAGAAGCTTTTAGGCAAAAGGTTGTTATAATTAGGCTTTACATGTTAGGAAACAATCCAATGTCAGTGTGAAGAATGGTGTTCCTATGGACAGTATTAGAGAGAGGGAAACCATTAGGAGGCTAATATAATAATCCAGGTGAGGATTGTTGCTGGCACCTACTAGCTAGGTCATCCTAGGCAGAGAGAGGAGGAGATGGATTCATGAGCTATTTGGGAGAAATATGCAGAGGTCAGGAATGATATGAATGCTTTGGATCCATTAGAAGGTGTCATTGCCTGAAATGGGGGACATAGGAGAAGAAGCAGGATCAGACAGGTGGGAATGAGTGTGAAGAACCTATCAGATATCCAGATGGGGGAGTCATGTTGAGGTTGTATGTGAATTGGTTACTGGCATACGTGGGTGAACTGGAATAGAAAGTTTGTGGAGTGGGCAGAGTGGTAAACTAGGATAGGGTCTGGGAAACACTCATATTTAAAAGTGGGAGGAGGAAGAGGAGACACAAAGAAGCCTGAGAAAACACAAAGATGGGGGCAGGGACAGGAGTGTAGGGAGTAGAAGGAAGTGGGAGGAAACCAGTGAGGATTACCTTTGAAAACGTGGCTGGTAAGGTTTGGAGAAAGAGTAATTAGAAGAGAATATGCAGAAAATAGGTAAGCAAAGGGAAGTTTGAACAGGGAAGCCAGGAGAATCCTGTTAGGATGGCCCAGGCATGGGGTTATGACTGCAAGAACCAGAGTGACAAGAGAATAGGAGACAAGGACACTGTGGATATTAGGAAGGAGGGCTCTTCAAGGCTGGGAGACTGGGCAAACAATGATGCTGTTGTTGGGAAGAAGGTCATCCCCAGTTGGGCTATTTCCAGTGATATGTTCTTCTAGGTTGATCATAGTATAGAAATTATAAATAGAACAAGTTGTAATAGTGTTATTATTTTATTTTATTTATTTTTTTTAATTTTTTTATTTATTTATGATAGTCACAGAGAGAGAGAGAGAGAGGCAGAGACACAGGCAGAGGGAGAAGCAGGCTCCATGCACCGGGAGCCCGACGTGGGATTCGATCTTGGGTCTCCAGGATCGCGCCCTGGGCCAAAGGCAGGCGCCAAACCGCTGCGCCACCCAGGGATCCCGTGTTATTATTTTAAATCAGCTTCTGTTTGTATATACTAGCAAAAAGTGTTTCAGTGATGTTTTTCACAGACACTCAATTATTATTTAAATGTGCGGAGACTGTGCCTTAAAATGACAAATGAAGATAATACCAGTTTGCATCTCTCAGTTGGAGGGCAGGCAGTGTAACATACTGTGTAACCCCCCAGACTCTGCTAGTTCCCACTTGTTTAAAGAGGGGGCAGTAGAATACCTTCTTCAAAATGTTGTTTTGATGACTCAATGAGATTTGTGTACACGTAAGCATAGTGGCTGGACATAATAAATACAGAAGAAAAGAGTAGTTGTTATTGTTGTTCCTATAATGGCAGTTACTCTTACATGTGGTTTTTATGCAAGTTGCAATTTATTGAACAGAGTTCCAGTAATTTGAAAATTATAATTGCACGTAAGCTTATATTTGCTTCTGAGCTATTAGTAAGAAGGAGATATTATTAGAAAAATAAAATTTGCAGAAATTATTAAAAGAAAATATTTACCTACTTAAGAAAGCTGCTTTTTCACCATTTTAGGAAGGCTCTTCAGATACACATGATTGAATTTCATGTAAACTAAAGCTAACAAGCAGATATTTGGGGTATATTCAAGTTATTCAAATCTGTTACGGAGTGCAGAATGCCTACTAAATAACATTAACCCCACGTAGCCACAGGAGGCTTAGCCTTAAAATTATATTTGTGTATATATATTCTATAACAGAAAAAATTGTACTGAACTCAGAAAACATTTCTCTTCAATAGGAGAGGATTACTAAGGGGTTTGATAACTTTTTTGTTTATTTTTGGGTATGTATGATTCAACTGCTGAGATTAGGAAGGGATTTATTTTATGTTCCCTCTGAAATGTGGCATTCTCTGGGACTGTATTCTATATACAGGAGGTATTCAATAAATATTACTAGTATTTATGCAGGAATAAAATAAAATTATTGTAATAATTTCAGAAATTGGTTCATCATAGCATGCAGTTTATTGGAACATTTTAATGTTTATTTTAGTCATCTAGTGTCAGTATGGGAAGATATCTCACTTTAATTAATGGTTTGATTTTCTTCTGGAACATGTACTCACAAATTAGTCCCTTTCTTTCCCAGAGAATAGACTAATTCATTATGGACAGGCTTTCTGGAAATGTGATGCTTAGCATCAGGCTGTGGTTATTATATTTATGAGCAACATGAGTCAGGTTTCTTCTTCTCATGAAGGATTGAGGTTTCACATCAAGGAGTATTTATTTATTAATCTCATTTCCTCCATAAAACTCTGTGAGATATGATATATTTTAAGCTCAATCTGAGATACATTAAGATTTGTAACAATCTTGAAGTAAAATTGATTCCTAAAAAGGTTTTTTAATTAACTATTAATTTCCCTTTTTACAACTGTAGTTTTGGCTTGTAGAATGAAAAAAAGAGACAAGTTTGGGCTCCTATGTCCCAATCTTATCAGAAGTGCACTTGTAAATAAGAGAGTTCCAGACCTTTCATTGTCTATTGAATTTTAGACTTCTTGAGTTAAATCAAAAGAGAAAATTATCATATAATCCTTCACTTCCATTCTAGGTGAGATTACGCATGGATCCTGACCAGATCTCTTTTATTTTTCTCCCTATTTTACAGTATCTGTTTCCTGTCTTTAGAGAAATGCAGTACCTTTTCAGAAATGAATCTAAAGTGATTCCAGCACGATCAGTCTAATTTAGTTAGAGGTAGAGTTTCAAGTTTCAGGGGAAGTGTCTGAACTGGGGAAGAATATCCCCAAGATTCCAGAGTCTCATCTCAACAATGTTTTGGGTCTTCTTTGAGATCTCTAAAATATCTATATCAGCAGGTTGTCCTGAATAAGATATTCCAATAAGATATTCTAATTGTTTATAGCACTTCACTAAATCCACTAGTTCATGTGTTCTGTAACTTTGTATCTAGTGATTAGTGAAATGACATAGACCTCAGTGGTGAAATCAGGTAAGTCTAGGTCTTCCCAATCTCTCTGTTTTAGTTTCTGCATTTAAAAATATGCATTGAAAAATGACATACTTACCAAGAACAAAACAAATGAAATCCCCTTTTTGATACCAGATGCTGGATGACCCTTGACAAAAGAAACAAATCCTCAATAGATCCTCTGATTATAAGTCTAAAAAGCCACTTAGTATAAATAGTATGCAATTAAAAACACTTAGTAAATCCTTTTTTCTTAAACATATTCTGATTTCCCAGCCCCCCCTTTTTTTCCACATCTATTTCATCTATTCATTGGGGTTTCAAATTCCCTTAAAAACCAGATAAAACCTTTTATTTCCCAATTATAAGTACGATATCAAATGCAAATAGAGCATGGAGGCTGAGTAACTCAAATTCACACTAGGGTATAAATGACTAACACCAGAGTCTTTTCACAAAGCAGGGATCATTGCTGTTCAAATGAAGGGCTTGAAACTGGTCTGAACTAGGAGCAGGCATAATGCAAATTGGATGTGTTGTTCACCATTTCTTCTGTTTCCTTGTGACTCTGTTTATGTCTTGAATCAACAGATTGATTCTATATATCACCAATAACACATTCATCACTTCTGCATGTTATCTCTTGGCTTTTGTAAAGTGTATAGAATTGGAATAATTATAACTCAGGCTGTTCATATATTAAAAACATATGATTTGAAACAAACATACCTTTAAGAAAAGACAACATTTGGAACTTGTTATCTTTGTAAGAATAGGGTTTTTTTTTTTTTTTTTTTCTTTTTGAAAAGACAATTGTATGGGATTCTAATGCTCTGGCTGACCTAAGAGAGGAGCAGTAAGGGGCTTAATGCTTTTCTTTCCTCACACAGTTTTCCTGGCCAGTGCCTGTGATTTGAATGATTGGCAAGCTCTGTAACTGAGTTCTTGGGAAAACAAATGATCTCATAGATGGAGCTGCTCCACGTTAGGAAGTGCAAGAATTATGAAATGCAGTCACAGCAAGGGAAAGAAGTTCTTTTGCATTTGGATGGCGACCTTTTGTTTCTAAGGTACCCTAGGGTGGCTGTGGCTAATAAATGCCTCTACTGTGGTCCTGGGGAAAAATTCTGTTTTTTTCCCCCACTCTCTTCCCATTTATTTATTTTTTGTTTTGGGTTTTTTTTTTTTTTTTATCCAGGTTTTTGGCAGCACCTCTAATCATGTGATATGCTTGAGGCTACCAGGTGAGAATACCTTTTAGCTTGGCTTTGATTCCAAATCCAAGGAAGCTCTGCTTCCTGGTTCCTGGCTCTTTTAGAACATTCATCCCTCGGTGGTTTGTAGTCATTTATCTGTGTTGAAGTGATGTACATTGTTTCTGATATTGTTATAGGAATTCAACAAGAGTTTAACTAGTACCCTTTTCGATCTTCTCATATATTCAGGAAGCTGTAGTAAGGGGGAGAGGTAGGGACCTTGCCCTGGAGAAGGACTTGTTCTGCAATGGGACTCAGGCCAGGAAGGAGAGGTCTCAGTAGTCTCAGTCCCAAGCACATCTGGTCAGCCCAGACACAGAGTCAGTTTTCTTCTCTGCACGTGTCTGGGTGGCTCCTAGCAACCTAGCTTCAGTTTTTATCTTTCTATTATCTGTTCCTTAAGTACTTTGCTGGACTCTTGGGCTCAGAAGATTAACAGAGAAGAATCTTCTCCTTCTGTCTTTCTAGTTTTTATCTCTAAGCTGATTCTGATTTCCCTCCTTTTAAAATAGACTATTTTTAGAAGAATTTTGAGTTTACAGTAAAATTGAATAGAAATACAAAAATTTCCTGTATATTGCCACCTTCAACCTCCCTCACTATCAATATGTAGCACCAGAGTGGTACATTTTTTTTTTTTTTTTGCAACTGAGAACCTACATTGACTCATCATTGTCACCCAGAGTCCATAGTTTATGTAAGGGTTCACTCTTGGTGTTGTACATTTTGTGGGTTTGGACAAATGTATAATGACATAAAGTCATCATTGTGGCATCATGCAGATAGTTTCACCACCCTGAAAATCTTCTCCTCTCTGCTTATTCACCTGTCCATCTCTCCTGACCCTTGGCAATCACTGATCCTTTTACTTTCTCCATAGCTTTGCTTTTTCCAGAAGGTCATATATTTGTAATCATATTGTAGCCTTTTCAGGTTGTTTTGTTTTTTTTTTTCCATTTAGTAATATGCATCTAATTTTCTGCCACAACCTTTTTTTTTTTTAAAAGATTTTATTTATTTACTCATGAGAGACATAGAGAGAGAGGCTGAGACATAGGCAGATAGAGAAGCAGGCTCCCTGCGGGTATCCCCAGGACCCCAGGATCATGACCTGAGCTGAAGGCAGATGTTTAACCACTGAAACACCCAGGAGCTCCTCTGCCCCTTTTCATGGCTTAATTGCTTAGTTTTTTTTAAAGAGATGAATGATAATCCATTGTCTGAATGTACTACAATTTATTCACCCATTTACCTACTGTTGGAAATCTTGGATGCTTCTAAATTTTGGAAATTATGGTAAAGCTAAAGGTAATTATCCTAGTGTGGCTTTTTGTAGAACAAATTTTCATAAAATTTAAAAAATAAATTTTCGAGTTCTTTGGGTAAATACCAAGGAGTGTGATTGCTAGATTGTATGGGAAAAGTATGTTTAGCCAAACTGTCTCCCAGAGTGACTGTACCTTTTTGTATTCCCACCAGGAATGAATGAGAGCTCTTGTTGTTCCATATCCCTGCCAGTATTTGCTGTTGTCAGTGCTCTGGATTTTGGCCATTTTAATAGGTATGTAGAGGTATCTTATTGTTGTTTCTTCTTTTCCTTTTAAGATTTATTTATTTATTTGTGAGAGAGATCTACAGTGCACTGGTGGGGGTGTGGCAGAGGAAGAGGGAGAGAGAGAATCCCAAGCCGACTCCCCACTGAACATGGAGCCCAACACAGGGCTTGATCTCAAGACCCTGAGATCATGACCTGAGCTGAAATTATGAGTCAGATCCTTAACTGATTGAGCCACCCAGGCACCCCCCATTGTTGTTTTAATATGCAATTCTCTAATGACATTTGATCTTGAGAATCATTTCATCTGCTTATTTGCCAGCTGCATATCTTCTTTGGGTTGGTGTTTGTTTAGGTCTTTAACCCATTTTGTTTTATTTATTTATTTATTTATTTTAAAAAAATTTTATTTATTTATGATAGTCACACACAGAGAGAGAGAGAGAGAGAGGCAGAGACACAGGCAGAGGGAGAAGCAGGCTCCATGCACCGGGAGCCCGACGTGGGATTCGATTCCGGGTTTCCAGGATCGCGCCCTGGGCCAAAGGCAGGCGCCAAACCGCTGCGCCACCCAGAGATCCCTTTAACCCATTTTAAAAGTCAGATTATTCATTTTCTTATTGGCAAGTTTTAAGAATTTTTTGTATATTTTAGATAGCAGTCCTTTATCATATAGATATGTTTTTTGCAAACATTTTCTCCCAGAGAGTGGCATGTCTTTTTATTCTCTTGATGATGTCTTTTGCAAAGCAGAAGTTTTTAATTTTAATGAAGTCCAGCTTATCAGTTTTTTCTTTCATGATGTAAGTGGTATATCTAAGAAGTGATCACCATACACATGGTAATTTAGATTTTCTTCTTTGTTGTCTTCTAGGAGTTTTATAGTTCTGTGTTACATTTAGGTCTATGATCTGATTTGAATTAATTTTGTGAAGGGTATAGAATCTGTGTCTAGATTCATTTTTTTGCCTGTATATGTCCAGTTGTTCCAACACCATTTGTTGAAAAGACTATCCTTTCTCCATTATATTGCCTTTCTTCCTTTGTCAGGGATCAGTTGACTATATTTATGTGGGTCTATTTCTGGGCTTCCTATTCTACTCCATTGATCAATGTGTCTGTTCTCTCACCTATACCAGACTATCTTGATTATTGTAGCTTCATAGAAAGTCTTGAAGTTGGGTAGTGCCAGTCTTCTTTTCCTTCAGTATTGCATTGGGTGTTCTGAGTCTTTTGCCTCTCCATATAAACTTTATAATAAGTTTGTTGATATCCAAAAAATAACTTGGGATTTTGACTGAATCTGCAGATCAAAGTTAGAAGAACTGACATCTTGACAATATTTATCCTGATTACTTTTTAAGTTCAGATTTGTTCAGCCAGGCATGATCTTATTTATATCATATGATAACACCATGTGATGAGCAAATTGTAGAAACCAAGGCTCAGAGAAGCTGGGTAATTAGTTCAAGGTCATCAGGTGGGAAATGATAGAGACAAGATTTGACTGCAGATCTGCTAGGCCCATAGTCCTTGCTCTGAGACAGTTTCCAAGGTAGTTTCATGTAGTGCTTCAGGGAGAAGGCTCTCCTGTCAATATAGCAGGATTTAAACCTTGGCTCTGGCACTTGCTGGATGTGTGACCTGGTGTGTAAGCCAACCTTTCTTGCTTTATATTTCTCATTTATAAAATAGAGTGGTAATAATAGTACCTGTTTCATAGAGATCTTTGGGGATTAATAGAATTGGTCATGGGCAGTGATGTGAACAGTGCCTGGAACACAGTAAGCGTTTAACAAGTTTTGACCATTGCCAATATGTCCATTCCCTGTTGGCCATAAAGTCCTTTGGAGCTGCTTGGGCATTAGCATTTGGGCAATGTGGACTAAATATTGTAGAAAGGGCAGGGCCATCTGGCATGTCTAGAATGCTTATGCATTGATACAAAGAGAGCTTTGAACCCAGTAGGGATGAGCTCATGTGATAGTGCAATATTTTATATTCCAAAATTTGATAAAAGCGTTAAAATTCAGATATGTATGAATTGTCAGATATGTCTTTTGAAGACATATCTTGTCTTCCTTAAAATTTTTCTAAGATACAGACAATTGATATGGCAGATATTTTCCTCAGCACAAAAAGACCGTGTACCAGAAATTGGGTTGAGGGGCAGAACAGAAAGGAAAAAGAATGCTAAAATTGGAAGCCAGAGACACTAAAGACAATCTTCACTACTAAATATGTTAAAGGAACATCATTTAACAAAACTAAGTCTCTTCTAGATCTACACCAGTGTCTCTTGATTTTTTTCATTGTCACATGTTTATTTTTAATTTTTTTAAAAAAGATTATTTACTTATTTATTCATAAGAGACACAGAGAGAGAGGCCAAGATATAGGCAGAGGGGGGAAGCAGGTTTCCTCTGGGCAGCCTGATGTGGGACTCAATCCCAAGACCTTGGGATCACGACCTGAGCCTAAGGCAGATGTTCAACCATTGAGCCACCCAGGCATCCCTCATTGCCACATGTTTAAAGAGAAAACTAAATTGAATTTAGATTAATGAACAAATTAAATTAAATTAAATTTATTTGATTTCTCCCTATAAGAGAAGTCAAAGCCCAAATATTAAGAAATGATATTTTGTTACAAATATTATTATCATAAATATTATTGGACTATTAAATATCTAAGATTTTTTCACACCTTGCTTCCCTGCCAACAACCAGTTATTATCCCCTTGGTGATAAAATTCCTGTTGAAGAAGCATAATCTATACTATAATTGCTTCATCTCTCGCATGAATTGCTGTGATAGGCTCATAACTGGGGTTGATAACTTTAAAAATTTAAATTGATCTACAGACCAAAGGACTTTTGATGAAAGTTTATTTTTGGTTTGACTCTGGTAGGAGAGGATGAGTTTTTGGATTCTTCTTAACATTTCCTTGTTACTTTGTTTTTAGTTGGATCTTATACTTGGATTGAGAATGATAGCCACTAGTTTGTCATGAGATAACACGTAAGTTCTGCAGCATCTCATTTTAGGCCTTTATCAAGGGCTGGTTGGTGCCTAATTCCTCTGGCCTTTTGGGATCGACTCATGATAGCCAGTCCTGTCACTTTGCTTTGTTCCACACCTCAGGTACCATTACTTTCTCCAAGATTTCTTCTTAGTGCTTTTCTGTCTATTCAGAAAGCTCTCTATATCCTTTTAGTCAGCACAGGTACCTTTCTTCCTCAAACAACCAGCTCAAGAATTATTTCTTGTGTTACTCCTCCCTATAGTAACCTTTTATTTCTCAATATTTCATTTGTTCTTAGTCTGTGCCACACAGTCTTGCCCTTGGCAAGGGCACATACTGTGTGTGTGTTTGCACACATGTGCGTGCTTGATTTATTTCTAGTTCACATGGGTGCTTGTTGTTTTACAGCTAGACTATAAATTCTTCATTGGCAGGGACAGTCCTTTCTCTCTTCTGTAGGAATTCTGAGATCTGAACTGAGTACACAGAAGATGCTCAGGAAATATTTCTAATCTTAAAAACTCTGGTATCTTGAGTAAATCATTCATGTTAGAAGTCATCAAGGAAACCTCACATTCATCTTCTGTTACCATATGTAAGCTGCAAGTTCCAGCAGGGAGATTGGACTAGCTAGGTATCTTTCAGACTTTGGATTCCATGGACCAGTAGAATCTTAAAAACATGTTTTGGGGAATAGAATAGAATTGTTAGCTTTCTTACTTTGCCATTTATGGACAAAATACTAGGAATTATCCCATATAGTTACATAATTTCATAAAAGAAGGGATATTTATGCACCAAAAGAATAGAAATGACATAGTCTTAAAGTATGCAGTCTTTTTTTTAAATAATAAATTTATTTTTTATTGGTGTTCAATTTGCCAACATACAGAATAGCACCCAGTGCTCATCCCGTCAAGTGCCCCCCTAAGTGCCCGTCACCCATTCACCCTCACCCCCCACCCTCCTCCCCTTCTACTACCCCTAGTTCGTTTCCCAGAGTTAGGAGTCTTCATGTTCTGTCTCCCTTTCTGATATTTCCTACCCATTTCTTCTCCCTTCCCTTCTATTCCCTTTCACTATTATTTATATTCCCCAAATGAATGAGACCATATAATGTTTGTCCTTCTCTGATTGACTTACTTCACTCAGCATAATACCCACCAGTTCCATCCACGTTGAAGCAAATGGTGGGTATTTGTCGTTTCTAATGGCTGAGTAATATTCCATTGTATACATAAACCACATCTTCTTTATCCATTCATCTTTCGATGGACACCGAGGCTCCTTCCACAGTTTGGCTATTGTGGACATTGCTGCAGTCTTTTAAATTAAATAAATTTAACTTTATTGAAAGCTCATAGGATTGGATTTTTCCTGTTTTTAATTTCTCCACCAGTGAGTGAAAACTGGCATGTGCTAACAGGGTGCACTGATCAGATCCATCCTTCTCTTATTTGGCCCTCTGTAATATCTCTTTCTTATTTATTATGGAAATGGCCCAGTGGCCCCAAATCATATATAAAAGTCCATAACAGTGGCAAATAAAATTATTTAAAAATTAAGAGTCATTATTCTGATCATTTCTCTATCCATATTATTACATATAGTTGAGAGTCAAGTAGAGAATATGTTCTAGTGCAAGTATCAAATTGAATTTTGGATTACCTGTGTCACAACTCCATCTATAACTTATTATGACCTTTTCTTGTTTTATCTAAAGACTTTTGTAAAACAATGATATGATGAATATAACATTTGTAGCAATTGATGTTTTATTCAAAAATTTAATTTAGGGCAGCCTGGGTGACTCAGAGGTTTAGCGCCGCCTTCAGCCTAGGGCCCGATCCTGGGGACCCGGGATCAAGTCCCACGTTGGGCTCCCTGCATGGAGCCTGCTTCTCCCTCTGCCTGTGTCTCTGCCTCTCTCTCTCTCTCTCTCTCTCTCTTTCATGAATAAATAAATAAAATCTTTAAAAAATTTAATTTATGAAAACTGATATCTAGTATCATTTAGAAGATTTAGATAGAAGTAGCCATTTGTCTATACTTCTGCACCATTATTACTGGTGCAGCAAGTGTCCCAGAGAACATGGAAGCCAAAGTCAGAGTATGTGATAAACTCTTGCCCAAATGATAGAACATCAGCTCTGATATCCTCAAGAAAAGATGAGGCTTATAAAATTACCACAGAAATTTCATATATTAATTTTGGTTAGCAAGATACAGAAACCAGGAGTTGGAAGCAGTGGTCAACTGTCTTCCTACTTTTCTTTCTGGAGCCAGCTGTGGTCTCTGGGATTTTAAGCCACACTTGATTTGTGAAATGCATGATACCCCTCATAGACTGCTCCAAGTGTATGTGAAATTTCTATACTCTACATGTAAGAAGTTTCAGGGCAAGATATTTATTTCTCCTCTGGGTGGATTGTGTGTGATCAAGACGTTAGAGATAACATTCTCATTGTATGAGGCCATTTTAAAGTTCTGTGCAACTTTGTGGGTACCCCTCAAGTTCAGTTCCATGTCCCCAACTCAGAAGCCTTTGTGTCCTGGGGAGTTTTATTGAATAAATGAATCTTAACCTTCACTAACTGGACATGTTAATTAAAGAGACAATTCTGATTCTTAAATTATGCCTGTCATCTTAAATATTACTTTGGTGTAAGTTACAGAAATATTTGAGCATTATTGTATATAACCTTTAAATGAATTCTACGGTTATTACTTCTCTATTTCTGAACATCTTAATATGAACATTTTATAGCAAAACAGAAAAACCTTAAGTAGTTTTCTTACTGACCTTCTGCAATGCAAGATTTGTCTAATTATGGTTTTTTGTTTATTGCAAATGAAGAAGACACACTGAATGTTTGATCTCTGCTTCATCTTGTTGCCAAAGTCCATTACTGAGCAGGCAGGATGGCATTGTTTGAAGTCTACAAAACAGCCAGCAGAAGACAGAAAGGTATGGCAGACTGGGATAGACTCCCCAAGTGGGTGGCGCTCATGATAGGCATCTAGAGAAGTAAGAGAGTAGGTGAGGGGAGGCACTCCGTGAGTGGCATATTGGAAGAGATCATCACTTTCATTTTTTAATTTTATTTTTAAAAAAGATTTTGTTTATTTATTCATGAGAGACACAGAGAGAGAGGCAGAGACACAGGCAGAGGGAGAAGCAGGATCCCTGCAGGGTGTCCAATGGGGGACTCCATCCTGGGACCGCGGGATTGCGCCCTGAGCTGAAGGTAGACGCTCAACCCCTGAGCAACCCAGGCATCCCAGATCATCACTTTTATTCCAGGTTGTGAAAATGGTCATGTGAGAGAGGTTAGAGGTCAATTATTGAGAAGCTCCTTTAAGCACTTTACATGTTTTTGAGGAAGATAAAATGGTTGAGATAGAAATGTGTTCCAGGTCAGATTCTTTGCGGCCTCTTATTATCTAGGATTAACTACTCTGTGACTTAGTTTTCTCATCTGTAAAAATGGATCTAGGGGAAAGTCCTTGCTGTCCCTCAGGGGTGTAGGCTGACAGAGGCTCTGCTCTCACAAACATATGGTCTTCAACCTCGTGTGGTGGTCTCATCCAGTGATCTGGAAGGGGAGGAGTGTGGAAGATTTCCTGGGAGAGATTTGGAAGTGGCTCCTACCACTTGCATGCATCCTGCATTGGCGTCATTTCGTCACAGGTCCGCGTCTCACTGCACAGGAGACTGCAGAGTGGGGATTAGTTGTGTTCTCAGGGAGAAGAATACAACATGGATTTTGGAGAAGATTCAGCTTCTAATACCAAATGTATTAACACTTAACAGAGTGTTTTTGTTACTATGACCTTCCAGCTTAATGTACTCTGTATGCTTAGAAAACATTCATTTATTTACTTGTTTATTCTTGCTACAGATATTTGTTAAGATCTACCATGTGCCGTTCAACTTGCCCAGTTCTGGTAGCTAAAATGGAGATGACTTGGATTATTTATTTATTTATTCTTGGTAGCAAAAGAGAAAAACTCCAAATTTTCAAAACATATAAGTGTTGTGTTGCATCATAACTATAATTGAAAGCAGAAGTCATGAGAAACCCTTGTTTCTTTTGCATCAGTCTTATACATCTTCCAGATCTCCTTTCTGACTTGGCACAGGTCTGACGGAACATAGTAAGCATTCAAACATATCTGTTGATTAACAGTGTATTTATTTGATCAAGGATGAGTGTGCCTGAAACCCATTAATAAATATGAGTCACTCTCTCCACTGAGTTCCCTGATAGGATTTGAATTCTAAGAGAATATTTTGGTTTTTATTAGGGATTTTGGCTAAATTCATTGACCACTTCATTTAGTACTGTGTAGACAGGACCTTTAGTTCTTGGGGTAATAGATCTTATGGGACCAATTTAGTTTTATTCAGGAAAGCAAATTTCCCTCCTCTGAATGAGATCTGATTTTCATTAGATGGGTTTGCTACATGATTATTTAGTGAAAGTAATGTCCAGAAGCTTCTTATTCAATCCAAATTTAACTTCTTCTCATCCACTATATCCCTACGGTGCCTGAGTCTGGAAGCAGGCTGGAATTTCATTTGGGAAGCTACCATTAACACCATTTGGTCTGAAAACTTAGCTCTCTACGGAAGACAAATGGAAGGATGAATGCTTGAGCACAACTTTCTCAGAAGAATAAATTAAGGATTAATATTGCAATCCAACTAGAGTTAGCCAGTGATTATTCTTTGCACCATGCTTTTTAAAATAACATAATCCTTGGGTGAATCACAGAAATAAAAGGAAGGAAGGAAAGAACTAGACCAGCTCAGGGGGGGAAGTTAAATGGGAAAATATGCTGAACTACCTAAAGCATATTTTAATTAGCCACAGTGGAACAAGCACTAAATTAGCTATGCTTTGGACTCAAGACACCTTGAAGCAGCTAGAGGGATTGGGGGGTGGGGTTGAATAGCTTTAATTTTGTCCAAAGAAAACCATTATATAACACATCTGTTGGTGGTTAACAGATCTTCAACATGTCTGAAAGACTGAAAATATTGTATACTTAAGGAATAGAACTTTAAATTCTCTGGTTTTTCATGAATTCAGTGGTGGGAAGGAAAACTTATTAAATAGGGGCTTCCAGAACTTTTAGAACATTCTAAGAAAAAAATTCTATCAAACTTCATAGCACCTGGAGGAGACTCAACAGCCTAAGGACATTTATTTATTTATTTATTTATTTATTTATTTATTTATTTATTTATTGGAGTGTTCAATTTGCCAACATATAGCAGAACACCCAGTGCTCATTCCGCAAGTGCCTCCCTCAGTGCCCATCACCCAATCACCTCAACCCCCCGTCCACCTCCCTTTCCACTATCCCTTGTTTGTTTCCCAGAGTTAGGTGTTTCTCATGTTTTGTCACCCTCACTGATATTTTCACTCATTTTCTCTTTCCCCTTTATTCCCTTTCATTAATGTTTGTATTCCCCAAATGAATGAGAATAATGTTTGTCTAAGGACACTTTAAATATCCCCTCAGCTTATGCACTACGTAAGTAGAAGAGTATGCTGATAATAACTGTGCAGTCAAAATTATTGATCTTTGATTACTTTCAATTCCATATCATACATTTTCTCTTCTCATTTGGGTAATTACTCTGTACCACTTTCTTCATCTGAAAGATGACCTAACTGAACTTGATTATGCCTCACATTGTTTCCAGTCCTAAAGGCCTAAGTGTTGGTTCACTACCATATTTTGCATCTTTGTTTTTGAGTATCATATCATTGCCTCATCACGCTTAGGCCCAGCATTGATATGGTCTTAAGTGCTGATGGCATATAGGGCGGTGCTTCCCCTTTTCCTTGTTAAGTTTACTGGTGGTTTTTAAAGGATTATTAAATTTTTAATTTTTAAAAGGATTTATTTATTTATTTTTAGAAAGAGAGAGTGTGCATGAGTGGGGAAAGGCGCAGAGGGAGAGAATGAATCCTCAAGCAGACTCCCATTGAGTGCAAAGCCCTACATGGGGCTCATTCTCATGACCCTGAGATCACAACCTGCACTGAAATCAAGAGTCAGACACTAATCGACTGAGCCACCTAGGTACCCTTATTTTTTAATTTTTCATAATAGCATGCTTCTTGCAGTCTTCTCAGGACATCTTAGGAGGGTCTGGTCACTGACTGCCTTAGAGGAAGTATTGCAGATTAGGGGAATTTTATTTTTTTTTATTTTTTTATTTTTTTTTATAAATTAATTTTTATTGGTGTTCAATTTACCAACATACAGAATAACACCCAGTGCTCATCCCGTCAAGATTAGGGGAATTTTAAAGAGATGAGGGAGTTAGTGAGAAGTTGGGCAGTAAGTGTGTGAAAGAACATGGAAATGTGTGGAAAAAGGTAGGAGAGGGAGAGGCTTTGTTTAAAGGTTTCTTTCCTTGTTTCTGTTTGCAGTTGAAATTCACACAGATGCCAAATCACTATTATTATTATTTTTTAGGACAAGTTTATGAGTTGTAGTTGTTGCTTTGAAGCTTTTCCCAACCATTTGAAAATAAAGATTACTGAGAACAAATCTCCTAGAAGTTAATCTACCTGAGTGCAACTATCCAGGCTGTAACTCTGGATTGATGTCAGACTGGCGATCAGAGCATGAACAAAGATTTCTGTTTTTCCTAATCCCTTACTGGCTCTCCTGGGCACTACCAAAGCCAAATTGAGGAGGTATTAGGGGATGTGGCTATGCAGTTGGCCTGAATGTGAAATCCTTTGAAGTTTCTGTGTTTTTTTTTTTTTTTTTTTTTTTTTTGCTGTTGTTTCCACTTCATGGATGAGACCGTGTTCCCCGTGAAGCAGCAAGTAAGAAAGGAATTCAGAAACAAACATAGGCAGAACCAGCAGCCCCATCACCAAGAGAGCAGGTTTGAGGAAATTGTCATTTGAAGTTGTATTAGCGTTGAATGAAAATTTTTTCCCAAATCTGGAAAATATTTTATTACAATGACATAGTTTGCCCTTTGAAAAATTCTTTTTAAGGGTTCCTGGGGGACTCAGTTGGCTAAGTAACTGCCTGGAATGGCATCCTGTATAGGGCTCCCTACTCAGCAGGGAGTCTGCTTCTCCCTCTCCCTCTGCCCTTCCCCCCTGTTCATGCTCTCTCTTGCTCTCTCTCTCTCTCTCAAATAAATAAAATCTGAAGAAATTCTTTTTATAAAAGAGTACTTTATAAATGACTCTTTTGATCAGTTTGTTTTACTTTAATAATACATTAAAATCAGCGGATATGTTGATAGGTTGGGAGAGTTGGGACTAAGTCAAGGAGCATTTTAAATTTTTTCCCACTTTTCTCCTTCCCTTTTGTTTACTGACTACTTCACTGGGCCAGACATCCTTCTCCTAGGTGCCTCATGACTTCTCTTGACACTGAGATCTCTCACCCACTCACTTCCTGGGAGTGTGACCTTTGATACTTTCCTTCATTCTGCCTCCCACCTCCTTAGTAAGATGGCAGAAATGCACTGTTTTCCTCAGAACTTGTTAAAGGAAGGGACAGTCTAGTAAATTAATTCAGGATCAAGGAGTCATGGACCACAATGGTCTAAAGCAAGGACCTACAAACTTTTTCTTTAAAGGGCTTGATTGTAAATATTTTAGGCTTTGTGGGCCATCTGGTCTCTATCCCAACTACCTGACTCCCATTTTGAGAAAGCAGCTACAGACAGTACAGCATACTTGTGTTCCAATAAACCATTATTCATGGAACATTAAAACATGAATTTCATTTAATTTTCATTTGCCCATAGGTTAGTTTTCTTATTTTGAATTTTTTTCAACCATTTACAAAGGTGAAAACTATTCTTAACTCACGGACCAGACAAAGATAGGCAGCAAGCTGGATTTGGCCCTGTGGACATAGTTTTCTAACCTCAGGTCTAAAGTGTAAGTCCTTTCAGACAATTTTCCCATATAT